AGAGTATAATTTTACCAACGCTCTTATATGGGTGTGAAGCATGGGTGATGAATGTTGCAGCGAGGAGAAGGCTGGAGGCAGTGGAGATGTCATGTCTGAGGGCAATGTGTGGTGTGAATATAATGCAGAGAATTCGTAGTTTGGAAGTTAGGAGGAGGTGTGGGATTACCAAAACTGTTGTCCATAGGGCTGAGGAAGGGTTGTTGAGGTGGTTTGGACATGTAGAGAGAATGGAGCAAAACAGAATGACTTTAAGAGTGTATCAGTCTGTAGTGGAAAGAAGGCAGGGTAGGGGTCAGCCTAGGAAAGGTTGGAGGGAGGGGGTAAAGGAGGTTTTGTGTGCAAGGGGCTTGGACTTCCAGCAGGCATGCGTGAGCATGTTTGATAGGAGTGAATGGAGACAAATGGTTTTTAATACTTGACGTGCTGTTGGAGTGTGAGCAAAGTAACATGTATGAAGGGATTCAGGGAAACCGGCAGGCTGGACTTGAGTCCTGGAGATGGGAAGTGCAGTGCCTGCACTCTGAAGGAGGGGTGTTAATGTTGCAGTTTAAAAACTGTAGTGTAAAGCACCCTTCTGGCAAGACAGTGATGGAGTGAATGATGGTGAAAGTTTTTCTTTTTCGGGCCACCCTGCCTTGGTGGGAATTGGCCAGTGTGTTAATAAAAAAAAAACATGTATGTGTAGTGTGACCTAAGTGTAAGTAGAAGTAGCAAGATGTACCTGAAATCTTGCATGTGTATGAGACAGCGTAAAAAGACGCCAGCAATCCTACCATCATGTAAAACAATTACAGGCTTCTGTTTTACACACACTTGGCAGGACAGTAGTACCTCCCTGGGCGGTTGCTGTCTACCAACCTACTACCTATGAAAATTTTTTCTTATTCTCATAAAAATTTGTTGATAAGCCCTCCCCCACTTTATCACTAACTCTCCTTTTGCTCTCTTTCACCACTCTTTTTAACCTCTCTTTTACTCTCCATATAGTTTTCTCTCCATGTGTTGACTTTTTTCTATTATAGTACAGTGGACCCTCTGTTTTCGTCGGTCTCTGTTATCGCTGATTTCGGTTTTGGCCGACTTTTTTCGTTGATTTTTTTGCTTTCATTTTCGTCAATTACCTCCATTTTTGTCAGTTGTGCAGAATCTGTCCAGTGCCCAGCGCGCAGACAAAGTCACTTCCCGCACAAATTCTCAGCCAGTGTAGCGAGTGAACATATCCTGCCAGGTCATATGAAACATTTCATAATAATCCATTGCTTTTGCCACTTGTTTATTGTATGTGACTACTAAATAAGCAACCATGGCCCCAAAGAAAGCTCCTAGTGCCAGTGCTTTTGCAAAAAAAGTGACGAACGCCATAGAACTGAAAAAAGAAATCTTAAGAAAATATGATAGTGACATACGCATTGCTGAACTCGGCAGAATGTATGGGAAGTCGCCATCAACAGTTAGCTCTATTGTGGCAAAGAGAAAAGAAATCATGGAAGCTGATGTTGCAAAAAGGCGAATGTGATAACCAAACAGTTCCCAAACAGTTGAAGAAGTGGAGAAATTGTTGTTGGTGTGGATCAGAGAGAAAGAGTTAGCAGGAGATAGTGTTGTGCAGTCCATTATTTGTGAAAAGGCAAGGCAGTTTCATGAGGATCTCATTAAGAAACTGCCTGAAATAAGTGATGATAAAGGTGAATTTAAGGCCAGCAAAGGCTGGTTCGAAAAATTCAAGAAGCGAAGTGGCATACAGTGTTGTAAGGCAAGGTGAGGGTGCCAGTTCAGACAAACAAACAACTGAAAAATTCGTGTGGGAATTCAAATGTTATGTAGAGGCTGAAAAATTCCAACCCCAACAAGTGTTCACTTGTGACAAAACAGGCCTGTTTTGGAAGAAAATGCCAAAGAGGACCTACATTATGCAGGAGGAAAAGGCACTCCCAGGACACAAGCCTATGAAAGACAGGCTAACTCTTTTGTTGTGTGGTAATGCTAGTGGGGATTTCAAAGTGAAGCCTTTACTGGTGTGTCACTCTGAAAATCCCAGTGTGTTCAAGAAACACAGTGTCACCAAGAGTAAATTGTGTGTGATGTGGAAGGCTAGCAGTAGGGCATGGGTCACTAGGGAAATTTTCGGGGAATGGTTCAGTGAAGTGTTTGGCCCAATTGTGAAGAAATACCTCCTGGATAATAAATTGCCACTCCAGTGCCTCCTGTTAATGGACAATGCTCCAATTGTCTAAGGAATTCAGTTTTGTATCAGTGAAGTTCTTGTCTCTTAACACTGCTCTTCTCATCCAGCTCATGGACCAGCAGATCATTGCAAACTTCAAAAAACTGTACACCAAAGCAATGTTTCAAAGGTGCCTTGACATAACCTCGGACTCTGAATTGGCCCTAAGAGAGTTCTGGAAGAATCACTTCAGTATCTTCAACTGCATAGACCTTATAGATAAGGCTTGGCAGGGAGTGACTTCCAGGATGATGAACTCTACTTGGGGAAAATTGTAACCAGTGTGTGTCCAAAAGAAGTATTTTGAAGGGTTTGAGGCTGACCCTGTCGACCCTACACCTGTTGTGCAATCAATTGTGGGATTGGGAAATTCCATGGAGTTGGATGTGAGTGGTAACGATGTGGAAGAGTTGGTGGAGGACCACAATGAAGAGCTAACCGCTGATGAGCTGCAAGAGCTTCATCTGCAACAGCAACAGACCTCAGATGAGGAACTTGCTTCAGAGGAGGAGGAAGAGAGATGGAAGAAGGTGACTTCTTCAAAGATTAAGAAGATTTGTGCAATGTGGACTAAAGTGCATTCATTTGTGGAGGAACATCACCCTGAGAAAGCTGTTGCAATCTGTTCTGGCTACTTTTACAGTGACAATGCCATGTCCCATTTTAGGCAAATCTTAAAGAGATGCCAGAAACAGAGCACTTTGGACAGATATTTTGTGCGACAGGGGTCCAGTGACTCTCAAGCTAGTCCTAGTGGCATTAAAAAACAAAGGAGGGAAGTGACCCCAGATAAGGACTTGGTACCTAGAGTCCTTATGGAGGGGGATTCCCCTTCCAAAAAATAACCTCTCTTCCCTCCCCCCTCCTCCCTGTCTTCCTTCCAGCAACAACAGCCTTCAGTAAAGGTAAGTGCCATGTGTAATGTTCATTCTTTTGTGCATGTATGTAAATCTATCTTTAAGGTAAAAAAAAATTTTCTTGTTGTTGATACTTCTGGGTGTCTGGAACGGATTAATTCCATTTACATTATTTCGTATGGGGAAATTGGTTTTGGTTATGGACAATTTCAGGTTTGGCTGATGCCTCTGGAACAGATTAAACATGAAAACTGAGGGTCCACTGTATTTACTAAGGTTAGTCAGATGATTTTAGCCCCTCATTTTATTTTCCAATAAACCAGCTGTATCCCACCAAGGCAGGGTGACCCAAAAAGGAAAGAAACACGTTCACCATAGTTCATCACTTTCACCATCATTCACACAATCACTGTCTTTGCAGAGGTGCCCAGATACGACAGTTTAGATGTCACTCCAAACAGCCAGTATTCCAAACCCATCCTTTAAAGTGCAGGCATTGTACTTCCCACCTCTAACAGCCTTTTTATTCTTTGTTGGTCCAAGATGGGTGATGAATCATAGCTAACTACAGTTTCATTCACCTGAGAATGTGTAAACAATCAAATATGATACGATTTGTATGGTTGAGGTCTTCCTGGGTCACTACTGTGCTCACTGAATCACTATGTGGAACCACAGATGTGAGGCATCATATTTGAAATAGAATAACGATGCAATATTGATAGTTTACAAATAATAGAAATAAAACAGTACATACACTGTACTGGTTATCGAAGTATTGTCAAGATGTAAATGTAAGTCTGACTTTGACAAATACTGATCATTAGTGTGCATATAGCTTGTTAAACATGGCAAGGGTGTATAGACATGTTATGTATTACATATGCAGTGGACTCCCGCATAACAATATTATTTCAATCCAGAAGTCTGTTTGGGTGCCGTTATAGACCAAATTTGTTCCCATAAGAAATATTGTGAATTTGATTAGTCCTTTTCAGACCCCTAAAAATACACCTACAAAAGCACTTACAAAAATAAACTTACATAATTGGTCAAGTTGGGAGCTGATCGTTATCCGGGGGTCCACTGTATATATTTTTTAACATGTCGGCCATTTCCCACTTAAACAGGGTGACCCAAAAAGAAAAAAATCTTCATCATCATTCAACACTTCAGTCATCACTCATACATAATCAATATCTTTGCGAAGGCTCTCAGATACAACAGCTTAGATGTCACTCCAAACAGCCAATATCCCAAACCCCTCCTTTAAGTGTTGGCATTGTACATCCCACCTCCAGGACTCAAGTCCGGCTAACCAGTTTTCCTTTTTCCCTCTATAAAATATTACCCTGCCCACACTCCAACAGCTCATCCAGTTCCAAAACCCATTCATCTCCATTCACTTCTATCCAACACGCTCATGGACGATTGATGGAAGTCCAAGCCCCTCGCCCACAAAACCTCCTTTACCCCCCTCCCTCCAACCTTTCCTAGGACGACCCCTACCTTGCCTTCCTTCTACTACTAATTTATACACTCTCCAAGTCATTCTGCTTTGTTCCATTCTCTCTAAATGACCAAATGTCTGGTTTTATTATGTATGAATACATAATCCCATGCCTGTCATAAGAGGTGACTAAAGTGGTGGGAACAAGGGGCTAGTAATCCCTTCTGTATAAATTTTTAAATGTAAAAAGAAAAGCTTTATAATGTTTTTTTTTTTTTTTTTTGAGTCACCCTGGCTTGGTGAGAGACGACTGGTATGTTGATACAAAAAAATGGATAGCAAAAAGCAACCGCTTGCTTTCATGACATTTCATCTCTTGTTGGTGAAACTAAATCCTGAACAGTCTCCCCCTTGCTATATGTGATGATTATATTGTAAAAGAAACTAACTGTTATTGTATTTACAGGCATTCAAGAATCATGCACTTCATGATCCGCTGTGTGAGCCAGGCACAGCTGATCTGACAGCTGATGTGGATTTTGCTCATCTAAAGGGACAAATTCAAGAAAGGGTGATCACATATGGTCCTGTAACACAATCTTCATTTTTAACAAATATGGGCATAGAATTCAGACTTGCTGTAAGATTTAGTAGTTTTCTGTTGGTTTGTTTAATCTTAAGAGACTATGGAACCGGTAATAAATATTTGATGGTATATGCAATAAGATCACAAGAAATAGGAAATATCTTAATATGCAGTATAACCAGAATGAAAAATAGTAATACAGTGGACCCCCGCTTAACGATCACTTCCCAATGCGACCAATTATGTAAGTGTATTTATGTAAGTGCGTTTGTACGTGTATGTTTGGGGGTCTGAAATGGACTAATCTACTTCACAATATTCCTTATGGGAACAAATTCGGTCAGTACTGGCACCTGAACATGCTTCTGGAATGAAAAAAATATGTTAACCGGGGATCCACTGTATTCCCAGTACTTACGAAATTTCTGACATTATCAAACAATAGTACATGTCCTAAGGCCTCTCTTAGGATGCTGAGTCAATGTCATAATGTGCATGGTTCTTGTACTTGAAAGTTACAATGTTATATTAATTTGAGAAAAATGAGAAAAGAAGCATTAATTAACTTATATAGGTGTAAGTGACTACATTAAGTATAGGTTTACCTGGAGAGGGTTTTGGGGGTCAGTGCCCCCACAGTTTGGTCTGAGACCAGGCCTCATGGTGGATCAGGGTCTGATCAACCAGGCTGTTACTGCTGGTTGCACACAAACTGATGTATGAACCACATCCTGGTTGGTCAGGTATTGGCTTTAGGTGCCTGTCTAGTGCCTTCTTAAAGACAGGCAAGGGTCTATTGGTAATCCCCCTTATGTATGCTGAGAGGCAGTTGAATAGTCTTGGGCCTTGGACACTCATTGTGTTGTCTCTCAATGTACTCGTGGCGCCCCTGCTTTTCATCGGGGGAATGTTGCATCTCCTACCAAGTCTTTTGCTTTCATAGGGAGTGATTTTCATGTACAGGTTTGGTACCAGTCCCTCCAGGACCTTCCAAATGTATATTATCATGTATCTCTCTTGTCTGCATTCCAGGGAATATAGATCAAGGACCTTCAACTGTTCCCAGTAATTGAGGCACTTTATCGTACTTATGTGTGCTGTGAAAGTTCTTTATACATTCTCCAGGTCTGCAATGTCTCCAGCCCTGAAGGGTGCCATTAGTGTACAGCAGTATTCCAGCCTAGAGAGAACAAGCGATTTGAAGAGAATTATCATGGGCTTGGCATCCCTAGTTTTGAAGGTTCTCATTATCCATCCTATTATTTTCATAGCAGATGAGGTAGATACATTGTTGTGGTCTTTGAAGGTGAGATCCTCTGACATTATCACTCCCAGGTCTTTCACATTTCTTTTTTGCTCTATTGTATGGTTAGAATTTGTCGTATACCCTGATACATTTTTAATTTCCTCAAGTTTTCCATATCTGAGTACAGTGGACCCTCGAATTTCGTAATTAATCCGTTTTAAAGTGTGTGACGATAGTTGAGACTTATGAATGGCGAAACCATTTTCCCCATAAGAAATAATGTAAATCCAATTAATCCGTTCCAAACGCTCAAAAGTATTAACAAAAAATATTTTTTTTACATTAAATATAGATTTAAATACAGAAAACAATGAAGACATCAAGTATTTAACAAAATTAACATCACAATTACCCCTAATGAAGACTGCTGTTGGTGTATGGAAGACAGGAGGAGGGGAGAGGATGGAGAAGTTATACTATTGTTTGGAAGGGGAATCCCCTTCCATAAAGACTTTAGGTACCAAGTGCTTATCCAGGGTTACTTCCCTTCTTTGTTTTTTAACCCTTTCAGGGTCCACAGGCCCTCTCAGAGACTTGTTTTCAGGGTCCCCCAAATTTAAAAAAAAAAAAATTTTTTCTTATGAAAAGATAGAAATTTGATGGAAAACTTACGGAATTATGCTCTCGCGAAGTTAGCGGTCTCGATGATGTTTATGCATCGGCGATTTTGCCCACTTTGAGCCATATTTTTGGCCAATTCCAGTGTACTAGTCAACAAAAATCATACCTATTTCGCTAGAACTTCATTTTTTCTACCGAATGAGTACAAGAAACCACCCATTTACCGATTTCAACTATCCAATACAGTGGTCAGAATTTAGCAATTTTGCCAATTTCACACAAATTTCAAAAGATGCCAATTTCCAAATAGGGTCCAGAATAAACAAGAAAGGCATTCCTGGCACTAAAATAACATTACCTCTGTTCATTAGTCATGTCCCCACGCCCCTCTTACATTCTTTTGCTTTCCATTTTGAATTTTTATTCTCACAAAAAATAGAAGATTTACTGTTATGCAGACTACTGCATTAGTGTAGAAATGGTATAAATAATATCGGTGCACTTGTGAAAGAATATTAGGACTTACCAGTTGATGTGTATTGGACGCTTAACATGATATGTTTACTTTTGAACTTTGGTAAAAATTGAACATTTCTGCTGCTTTGAGCTCAATTTCACGGTACTTTTCATTGTAAAACCAGTCAAAATCATCTCAATTTCTGTAATATGTCTTCCATTCTATCAAATGAGACCAGGAAAACTAGAATACAACAATAAATACCATTCGAAAATACAGTGCAAAGTCACTGTTTTAATCCAAAAACACGGTCAAAGTTTTTTTTTCTCATTACGCACTGTGTGCTGCAGGATTTTTTTTATACTGCGTACACTGACCATATAGACCCATTCTTTCATATGTAGGCCTACCAGCTTTCTCTCACTAGATTTTAAGGCGCTAGAATTTATGAGTACTAGTACGTCAAGGACCCTGGCACGTAAGCCGTACTAGTACGGCCGAAACCCTGAAAGGGTTAATGCCACTAGGACCAACTTGAGAGTCACTGGACCCCTATCGCTTAAAAAATTTTTCCAGATAGCTCTATTTCTGTAGGTAGTAGGTTGCTAGACAGCAACCACTCAGGGAGGTACTACTGTCCTGCCAAGTGAGTGTAAAACGGAAGCCTGTATTGTTTTACACGATGGTAGGATTGCTGTTTTTTTTTTTTCTGTCTCATACACATGCAAGGTTTCAGGTATGTCTTGCTACTTCTACTTACACTTAGGTCACACTACACATACATGTACAAGCATATATTATATATACACACCCCTCTTGGTTTTCTTCTATTTTCTTTCTAGTTCTTGTTCTTGTTTATTTTCTCTTACCTCCATGGGGAAGTGGAACAGAATTCTTCCTCTGTAAGCCATGCGTGTTGTAAGAGGCAACTAAAATGCCAGGAGCAAGGGGTTAGTAACCCCTTCTCCTGTATATATTGCTAAATGTTACAAGGAGAAACTTTTGTTTTTCGTTTTGGGCCACCCCGCCTTGGTGGGATACGGCCAGTGTGTTGAAAGAAAGAAAGAAAAGCTCTATATCTGGCATCTCTTCAAAATTTGCCTCAAATGGGACAAGACATTGTCATTGTACATGTTGCTGACACGGCTTGCAATAGCTTTGTCAGGGTGATGTTCCTCCATAAACATTTGCACCTCACTCTACTTTGTGCAACTGTCCTTAAGCTTTGAAGAAGGCACCTTCTTCCATCTGTCTTCCTCCTCCTCTGAAGCAATTTCCTCAGCTGTGGTCTGTTGCTGTTGCAGCTGAAGGTCTTGCAACTCTTCAGTGGTTAGCTCTTCATTGTGGTCCTACACCAACTCTTCCACATCTTCACCACTTGCATCCAACCCCATGGAATTCCCCAATGCCACAGTTGATTGCACAACAGGTGTAGGGTCGACAGGGTCAGCCTCAAACCCTTCAAAATCTTTGTCAAGGACACAATCTGGCCACAATTTTCTCCAAGCAGAGTTAAAAGTCCTGGAAGTCACTCTCTGCCAAGACTTATCTATGAAGCCTGTGCAATGGAGGATATCGAAGTGATCTTTCCAGAACTCTCTTAGGGTCAATTGAGTGTCTGAGTTCACATCAAAGCACCTTTGAAACATTGCTTTTTGAAGTTTGAAATGACCTGCTGGTCCATGGGCTGGATGAGAGGAGTAGTATTAGGGGGCAAGAACTTCACTGTGATGAAACTAAACTCCACCATTTGATCATCCAAGTCTGGAGGATGAGCAGGAGCAGTGTCCATTACCAGGAGGCACTTGAGTGGCAGTTTACTTTCCAGGAGATATTCCTTCACACTCAGGGCAAACACTTCATTGAACCAGTCAAGGAAAATTTCCCTCGTGACCCATGCTGTTAGCCTTCCACATTACACACAATTTACTCTTGGCGAAACTGTGTTTCTTGAACACTGGGATTTTCAGAGTGATACACCAGTAAAGGCTTCACATTGAAGTCCTCACTAGCATTACCACAGAGCATGAGAGTTAGCCTGTCTTTCATAGACTCGTGTCCTGGGAGTGCCGTTTCCTTCTGCGTGATGTAGGTCCTCTTTGGCATTTTCTTCTAAAAGAGGCCTGTTTCATCACAATTGAACACTTGTTGGGGGGCAAATTCTTCAGCCTCTACATAGTCCTTGAATTCCTGCACAAATTTTTCAGCCGTATATTTGTCAGAACTGGCAGCCTTGCCATGCCTTACCACACTGTGTATACCACTACGCTTTTTAAATGTCTCAAACCAGCCTTTGCTGGCCTTAAGTTCACTAATATCATCACTCGTTCCAGGCATTTTCTTTACGAGATTGGCATTCAACTGCCTTGCCTTTTCACAAATTATCGACTGCCTAACACTATCTCCTGCTAACTGGTTTTGGTTGATCCACACCAACAACAAATTCTCAACATATTCAAGTATTCGCGATCTCTCTATTGTGAGCATATATACCCTTTTCGCAACAACAGCTTCCTTGATTTCCTTTTTCTTCACTACATTGGAAGCGATGGTTGTATGGGGCTTCCACTACAAGCTTTCTTTGAGCCTATGGTGGCTTATTTAGCCACTGCAAGCACAAAAAAAAAGAATTGAAAATTGCGAAATGTATCGTATGAACGCGTGCAGTGATGTTCTCTCATCAATGACTAGTAGTGGTGTGTGGTGTGCCTTTGTGTGGCATGGACGCTG